TGATCAAAATCATGAAGAAGAAAATTTTGATGATGCTGATGATTCAATTTCCATAATTGGATCAGAAACAGATGTAATGTTCGAAGATGCACTTTTGGATTTTGATCCTAATTATCCACCATTAGATAAATGGACAAGAAATCATCCAAAAGATCAAATTCTTGGTGATCCACAAGCAGGTATAATGACAAGGGCACAACTTCATGCACGAAATGAGGTACTGAATAATCATCAAGAGTTATGCATGTTTAATGTTTTTATTTCCAAAATCGAACCAAAGACAGTTAAGGTTGCAATGGAGCACTCTGATTGGGTTGTTGCTATGCAAGCTGAATTGTCTGAATTCGAAAGAAACAAGCTTTGGAGATTAATTCCAAATCCTGTTGATGTGTCAATTGTTGGACTCAAATGGATTTATAAAAACAAAACTGACGAAGATGGAAACATTATTCGAAATAAGGCTAGACTTGTTAAAGGATATTCTCAACAAGAAGGAATTGATTACGAAGAAACATTTGCCCCTGTTGCAAGACTCGAGGCTGTTCGCATTTTTCTGGCTTTTGCAGCTCATAAAGATTTTGATGTTTATCAAATGGATGTAAAATGTGCATTCTTAAATGGAGAACTCGAAGAAACTGTTTATGTTGAACAACCTCCAGGTTTTATAAACACAGAACATCTTGATCATGTTTATATTTTAGATAACACTGTATATGGGTTAAAACAAGCACCAAGAGCATGGTATGCAACTTTAACATCCTTTTTGAAACAATCTAAATTTAAACAAGGATCAGTTGATCCCACTTTATTTCGAAAGAAAATTGGGAATCATCTGATGCTTGTTCAAATTTATGTTGATGATATAATTTTTGGCTCAACTGACCCCGCTTTATCTAAAGAATTCGAAGATCTGATGAAAAGAAAATTTGAAATGAGTATGATGTGCAAAATTAATAACTTTTTGGGTTTGAATATTCGTCAAAACAGGGAAGGCATCTTCATTAATCAGGAGAAATATACGAAGAATTTGTTAGAAAAGTTTGGAATCACGAATAACATAAGGTTACGAATACCAATGGCAACGGGCATAAAGCTAACTCCTTCGTTAGATAAATCAGCTGTTGATATTACTTTGTATCGAAGCATGATTGGGTCTTTATTTTATTTAACTGCAAGTAGACCTGATATTGTGTATTCTGTTTATAATTGTGCAAGGTATCAATCAAATCCACGTGAACCACATCTCACTGCACTAAAGAATATTTTCCGATATTTGAAAGCCACTACTTCGTTAGGATTGTGGTATCCTTTGAAAACAGGGTTCTTTGTACAAGCCTATTCGGATGCGGATCTTGGAGGATGCAGTCTTGATCGTAAAAGCACAACTGGTGGATGTCAATTGCTAGATGGAAAGTTGGTCAGTTGGCAATCGAAGAAACAGACATGTGTTTCCATCTGAACTGCGGAAGCTGAATATGTTGTTGCAGCTGTGTGTACATCACAAATAATTTGGATTCAAAGTCAATTAAAAGATTATGCAATTAATATGAAAAAAATTCCTTTATATTGTGGTTTACAAAGTGCAATAAGAATTTGTCATAATCCTGTGCAGCATTCGAAGACCAAGCACATTGCTCTTCGATATCATTTCATCAAAGATCATGTTGAAGAAGGAAATATTGAAGTTCATTTTGTAAAAACAACGGAACAATTGGCAGATATTTTTACAAAAGCTTTGGATGAAAAATCGTTTCTTCGTATCTTAGATGGATTTGGAATGATTGATAGAAATTCACTTCAATCTGATAAAAGGGAAGAGTGATGGGTCTGAATCATTTGGTGTATGGACAGAAAAGGTGATTCAGTGTTCAGAGGTTACTGGTCATGGTCAACGCTTCGAACGCTTCGCATTCGGAAGTTTTTGAAATAAATAATCAGAGGTTATTGTTCAAGTCAACGGTTTGCATGCTTCGTATTTGTACACATTTCAACTAAGGTTAGATTTGTAGTTTGTTTAATTTTTGTTTAAAAACCTGAAAAATCAAAAATATTTTCTTTTATTGAAAAATTAAAAATCCAAAAAGATTTTGTTTCAGTTTGTCCTTAATCTTTTGAAAAATTACAAAAATACCAAAAATATTTTTCATTTTTTTTAGTTTTAACATGTGTATTGTGAGTTTTGTCAAGTTTCAAATACGAAGGATTCATGCATCTGGTTTTGAAGAAAAGGTATGATCTCGATACATTTTGGATTAGTTAGGATGTCCCTAGAAGCATGCTGCTGCATGTTGTCTGAAGCCTCGAATGATTCTATGTGTGAGAGATGAAAGCCTTGATGAAATTATCTCATGAAAATTTCTACCCAACAAGGCTTGTATTTGCATAAATCAACAAGAGCTACCTTACTCTTCTCAAATGAGTTAAGAGTTTTCTGTTTTGTCCAATATAACAGAGGTACCCTTCGATTCTTAACCAATCTTTTTAAACCAAACAAGTCTTACATTCCAAATATTCAAAGATTTGTCCTTGAGGTCTTTGATCAAACCAATCAAAACCTAGACAAATCACAAATCTGTGTTTATGACCTAATATCATGAGGCTGTGATAGTAGTGAAACCCAAAATATCATAAACCTTAAGGAATTGACGGGGAACCATGTTCCAGATCTTACGAAACATTTGTTTCAGTACCTTTTATAATCCAAATCATATTCATTTCTTTTGAGTGATCTTAATCAAACATTCGAAAACTACGATGTTTGTTCGCAACAAGATCCATCATAAATGTTTTTTATGAATATGATTTCCGTGTGAGTATATTTTCAAAATACTAGTTACTTTGAATATCATTCGCAACCAAGTTGTCACTGACTACACCGGTTATACAACTAATTTTGTTTACAATTTCTCACCTTATTTTAAGGTTGATATGTAACGAAATTTTCGAAGCCACCCATTTGACCTATAAAAGAAACCCTTCGAAACTTCTCTACAAGTTATCGATTGTAATTCATGGGAAACCAAACAAGTTTTTAATTATCTCTCTTGATAATTTTTGAAGATAGCTTCGCCTGGGATAAAATTGTTTTTGTGTCAAAAAGAAATTGTTGACATCACAAGTTTTCAAAAGTTTTTTTTCCTTGTTTCTCATCTAATTTCTTTTGGAACACAGCACACACGAAATCCTTGAGGTTTGAGTAACACCAACTTAAACTGACGATTTCGAAATTCTGGCAAATGACTTCGCTTTTTTAAACCTCAAAGTGAAAGAGCCTGACCTCTATTCCGATGGCATCCGACGGTTACAATTCTTTTGGGGAATACCAAACAGTCCTATCACTTGATCATGCATGGTGTATGATAAGCGTGTAAGGCGTGTTGATAGTTACGATTGTTACTTTTTGATGAGTACATTCCGTTTTTCAAGGTGCCATGTTAGCAAGCATTTAATGCATCCCGCTTCAAATTCAAAATTCTAGGGTTACATATAAAATGGCAAATCAGAACTCATTAACACTTTACGCGATCAATCTCTCTGAAATACAAAATTCTCTGTGCAATTCATCTTCTTCATAAGTTCTTTACTCAAATCATCATCAATGGCGTTCATCGCCAACTACAGACGAAATAATCAGTGTTCTGATTCTAAAGATCCAGGGTTCCAACTATCAAGTTGAATCGGATTTGTCAAAGTATCCGGAGGAACTTCACATGCTTGTGGTTGCTTTACAGAATTCAGTTATGTCTAAAGCAATGTTTGATTCATTTGCTGCTCCGATGTCCTGGTTGTCAAAGGCGGGTTCTACTACATCATACAACAAGGAGACAGGTTGTGTGGAATTCACAATGGTTAATGATACGAGAATTAGGGTCTCCAAGCAGTTATTTTGCAAGATTTTGGGAATTCCGAATTCTGGTCCGTATGATGAACTTTCTACTTCACAAGTGGTGTTCATGTTCAACGAGATGGGTCATCAACCTCCATTGACGCGAATCAGTGATTTCAAGAATTCGGGGTTACCAACAATCTGGAATTTTTTATTTGGCATCTTTCTTCGATGTCTTACTGGAAGAACTGTGGGGCTTGATAAAGGAAGGATGGAGGTGTATGCAATGATAGCTGGGCTGTACTATGATTTGCAAGTCGATTACTCTGAACAATTATGGACAGAGTTCTTAGCAAGCATTTCGAAGACAAGTGCTAAGCAGGGGATTTCGTGTGCACGATATTGGAGTCTGATAGTCCAATATGTCTATCAGAAGAAAAAAACCGAAGTTCCGGAATACGAAGAGAAAGCAGTTTTCCACATGTATGGTAGTCCGAAGGAGGTGCATGATGATCCGGCTATCTTTACCACAGTTGCTCGCATTCCGGATGCAATGCTCAAGAAGGTGGATCCCACGAATAATGTGTTGGTGTCATATTTGCAATCTATTTACACAACCGTTGTTACTGGGATGTTACAACAAGAAGAGAAGAAGAAGTCGAAGAAATCAAAGAAGACAGAGGGTGAGTCTTCGGAAAAAGGGGTGAAAGCAGAACAAAAGAATCAAGAGCTAATAGTTACATCTCGAACTGTCGAAGAGGTGTCTCCTATTTTACCTTTAGTGGTTCATACACCGGTTATCGAAGCCTCTTCATCAAAAGAAACGATTCCTTCAAAGACGGGGGTTTTTCGAAGAATAAAAATCAAGAGAAAATCTCAGTTGGTGAAGAAAACACAGGTTACTAATCAAGGGGTTACCGTTCGAGAAATTCCAGCTCCGGTGTCTCCATCTTCTAAGAAACGAAGGGCTGAAGTTATGGCAAAAGTTTTAAAGAAAACCCGACGTATAGAAGAAGTGGATCAAGTTCCTGAGACTCCTGAAGATGAAATTCCTAAAGAAGTAGAGATTCTTCAGTCTATTGAAATTTCGAAGGTTGATGACATAAAGCTCATTGAAACAACATCTTTACCTTAGGTTACTTCCATAACTGATTCTCCAACATTCCAATCTATTATGGATCAACCTTTCACCACTCTATTCTCAACACAATCAACCGATCCACCAAATCCATCATCACCTGTTGCTGAAACCATGGATGTTGATGAGGAAACTGATAACGAAGGATTTGGAGGAACATTCGAAGCTCTTTCCTTTGATAAACCTGAAGAAGATTTCCCTGACCATATGCTGATGACGATGAAGCAGTTCAAGATATTGAATTCAAAATTAAATTCTATCTTGCAATCTCAAGCGGATGTGGGAAGTGTTGGAATCACTATCATGGAAGTTGATTCCATAATAAAGGAATTGGAAAGCAGGATCATTTCGAAGGCATCAGTGTTAATACGTGATTCTGAAAGCCACATTCTTGAGAAAACTGATCAGAATGATAGTTCTACAGAGAATAGAATCAATTCTCTGAGATCTGATTTTCTGAAGGAAGTGAAGGATTTGAAGACTGTTACGAAGGAGCATCATGTGCTCTTTGTACAGGAAGTTAAGAAGGTTCGAGAAGATGTTAATATGCAAATTTGTGAACTTCGTGAAACAATGACGAAGGAGGTTCAACATATTCTACAAGGGTATGAATCAGCACATCAGAAGATCGACATTATTTGTGATGCGGTTGTTCAGTGTGTTAAGATGTTCGAACAACATTTTGGGGAGTTGGTGAAACTGCTGAAATAACTCCAAGAAATATCTTCGAAAGTTTCTTCACCAATTATTTCTCAAGAATTTCTTTCTCAGAAATTCATTCATTTCGAAGCCATTCTACAAAAATACCTTGCTCCATTACTTCGAATTTCAAGCCTTTTGCCAAACGTATCAGATGCCCCACCTGCTGTCACAGGGGTGTAAGGGGGAGAAAAGGTTGGTCAAGCAAAGGCTGGGGAACATGAGAAGAAAACTGAAGATACGAAGGTGGTAGGAAAGGTTTATGCTTCGAAAGAAGTTGTTAAGCCAACAATTGTTTTAGCTGCTCCAGTTATTTCAATTGTGACTACAACTGTTCCAGTTGCAAGACCTATTGCAAAAGGGATTGTAATTATGAATCAAAGTGATGTCTCTTTGTCAAAGAATGTAGCTCCTTCAAATGATAACGACAAGCGAAAAGGATTTTTGGTTGAGAAGTCTAACAAAGAGAAGAAAGCTGAGGTGGCAACTGTGATTGAAAGAATGAGGCAAGTTGAAAGTATAATGCGACAAAGAGCTCTAGAAGGTTCGAATTTTGATAAGGGGGATCCTTCAAAAATGTACAATTACGAAACAATAGAATCCAGGGTGATGTTCGATCACATGTATTCTATTGAAAAGATTCCGAATAAGAGTTTGTAGTGACAAATACTGATTTTGGTCAACTTGATTTTCCAATCAACTAAATGATGTTCGTTATGCCACAGTTCAAGGCTGAGACAAAGTCTATGGATACCGAAGAAGGAAAGAAGATGAAGATAAGATTTCATGCTGTGTTAGCAAAGGCTCAAGAGGAAGCTTGGTTCTTGGAGAAGATAAAAAAGGTGATATCTATAAAAAGGGATGTCATTTTCGAAGGGAAGTTTCAAAATCTGAAATATACTGTGACAAGAGAAAGTGGAAAGTTACAAGAGTTTACTGTGGCAGACTTTCCATTGATGAACACTTATGATCTCATCAATGTTGCCCAGATACTTAAAGACAAGTCATTCTCTTTTCTCCAAGATATAGAACCAGATGTTTTCAGTGTTGGGTGTAGGCACATAAAAATATTCTTGGAGAATTATTTTGAGTGCTTAGCTCAAACTGATGTCCAACTTGCTACTGTTAAAGGCTTCGACATAACTGCACCAATGGCCCCTACGAAGAAGCAGGTTGAGTTGAAAAAGTACAAAGATGGTGAAATATGTATAAAGCCATTGCGGATTGTCTTTGCAGGAAAGGATAAAGCTGGAAGAGGTAAAAGATTTTTGTTTCAAACTTCTGAAGTGGAGAGATATACAAATTCACAATATACGAACTTAATTGTTCGTATGAATCATTGCAAGAAGAACTCAGAAGGAGACAAGAAGGAGATAAAGAAAGTTATCTCCTGGTATATGGAAATCTGAAGAGTGTTGATGTATGCCGTTCAATTACTAACTTCATGAAGACTTCGACCTTTATTCCAAAGGGGGAGATTGTTAGAGTTTAAATGTTGTAATATATCGAAGTGTTAGTTTTTACGAAGGGTCTTTAGTCTTCGTAAGAAGATTCTTCGGAAGTAACGTTATTTTTACTAAGGCATTTTAAAGAATAGTCTTAATGTCTAGTCCTTAGTATTTTTATTATGCTTTTCTACTCCTATAAATAGGGGTCTGTACTAAGTGAGTAGGAACTTTCCACTGACTCTTTACATAATATTCTTTGTACTCTGTAAAATCAAGAGCATAATATGAGCTGAAATAAGATTATATTTACTCTCGCGTTCATCGTTTTTCTTCTTTCTGAATTCTTACATGAATTGATCTTAAACTTGATTACAAATCTCATCAAAGTCACATCCTTCCTTGGGCAAGCTGGCTTGATATGACCTGTTTCTCCACACCCATAACAGACAATGGATTCTTTGTCTATTTTGCATTGACCCAGATGATTCCTTACACAAACGCGACATGATGGTGATTGAATAGAAAAAGATTGTGACCTACCACGGCCACGAAAAGCACTCTGAGATTGTGCTTGCTTGCTAGGATCAGTTCGAATAGATTGAGCTAGTGGAATAGTGGAAGCAGGAGTAGTTCTTTCAGTACGTGGATGCTTTGGAATAGTAAGAGTGGCACCACGTATTTCTAAGTCATGCTCACGCCTTCGAGCATACTCAACGGCTTTATCGAATGACAAAACATCCCGGTTGAAAACGAAATCATGGATTTCGTGTCGTAGTCCTTCCATGAATAACTGAATTTTCTCGTCTTCAGTTGGAATATACTTCGTAGCAAACCTTGCTCTTTGATTAAATTGAGTTTCATACTCATTCACAGTCATTCCTCCTTGTTTCAGCTCCAGGAATTCCTTCTCCAATCTTCTCCTCATATCTAGAGGACAATACTTCTCTAACACATGAGTCTTGAACAATTCCCAAGATAAGTTCTCTTGGTCACATCCATCCAGAGCTTCATATGTTGCTTCCCACCAGACTAAAGCTTAATGAGCATTGCAGAAGCATAAATAGCCTTATCTTCATCATCCACATGAGAAACAAGAAATACTTTCTCAGTGTTCTGAATCCAAGTTAGAAAGATTATAGGATTAAGGACACCAGAAAACTCCGTACCACCACTACTCTTGAAATCTTTGAACGAGGAACGCTTCACTTTCCCGCTTTAAGATTCTCAAGTGACTTTCTCTTTTGCTTTATCTTCATTCTTTTTGTGTTCTTCGAGAGTTTGTCGAATAACACCGGTAAGTTTAGCTAAAAGTCGCTCCTCACGAGGAGATACTGGAGTATTCACTTCCTCGGGTTGAGGATCTCCACCAACATCACGGGTATGGCTACTTACTTGTTCAGCCATTGATCTGAAATACAGAGTAAGATAGTATTTTAGAATATTAGGGTTTACTATTACTTAATACTTTTACTTATATTTTTCCTACGGTTTGTATCCCTATACTTACAATGATTAAGTTCATATATTGAACTTCCTATAGTTGAAGTCTAAATACCAATCCGTGGAATTTAGTTCGCTTAAACTACTGCTCTGATACCATGGTTGGGATAATTCTTTTCATAATCTTTCAGTTGTCTTGAGGCGTAGGCTATCACTTTACCACGCTGCATTAACACACAACCGAGTCCCGATCATGAAGCATCGCTATACACGGAGAAATCAGAGTCAAAAGATCTTTTAGAGTTGAGAAAGCTTTTTCTTGAGCTTCACCCCATTCGAACTTCACTTCCTTTCGTGTAAGACTTGTGAGAGGTACGGCTATACGAGAAAAGCCTTTAATGAATCTTTGGTAATATCCCACGAGACCTAAGAAACTTCGAATTTCGGAAGCATTACGGGGCACTTCCCAATTTTGAATGGCTTCGATTTTGATAAGATCTACGAATACACCATCACTAGAAATAATTTTGCCAAGAAATTCAACTTGACGAAGCCAAAATTCACATTTCGAGAGTTTAGCATAAAGTTTCTCCTTTCGAAGAAGTTCTAAGATTTCACGAATATGAACAACATGATTGGCTTTAGACTTGGAATAGATTAGAATATCATCATTGAGTACGATGACAGACTTATCGAGCATTGGGAGGAATACTCGATTGATCATATCCATGAATACGGCAGGAGCATTTATCAAACCGAATGACATGACAAGGAATTCGAAATGCCCATCACGAGTACGGAAAGTAGTCTTCGGTACATCTTGCTCTTGTACCTTCAACTGATGATAGCCAGAGTTCAAATCAATCTTTGAGAAATAGCTAACACCGTGAAGTTAATCAAATAAATCATCGATGCGAGGTAGTGGGTACTTGTTCTTGATAGTCACGTTATTCAGCTCACGATAATCAATGCACATTCGCATCAATCCGTCTTTCTTCTTGACAAATAATACTAGAGCACCCCAGTGAGAGGTAATCGGTCAAATAAAGCCTTTGTCAAGTAAATCCTATAGTTGTATCATCATTTATTTCATCTCGGCTGGCACAAGACGATAAGGAGTCTTTGCAATCAGAGCAGCATCAGGTACAAGGTCAATTTGGAATTCTACTTGTCTATCCGGAGGAAGTCCAGGCAGATCATCGGAGAAAACATCGGGATATTCGTTAACAATGGGAATATCATTTACAGTTTTATTCTCTTTTCTTGAGATGTCAAATGTATAGGCCAAATAGATAGGACAACCTTTCGATATGAATTTACGAGGTTTAAGGAAAGATATTATTTTTAAGATCCTTTGTTCACCGTAGACATGAATAGGATCTTCCCCTTTAATAGGAATGCGTACCATCTTTTCGTAACACAAGAGTTTTGCATGGTTCTTTGACAACCAATCCAATGCTGAGAATAATATCGAAATTTGGCATGGAGATAGGGATTAGGTTAGCAAGAAAATTATATCCTTCAATTTCAATGACACAATCCCTATAGATTTTATCAACAAGTAATGATATACTTCCTGCGGTATCTACGTGAAATGGTTGCGCGAGTGCATAGCAAATAGTTTGAAAAGAATATGCAAATTCATAAGATACGAAATAATCCGAGGCACCAGAATCAAATAAGATGTTAGCAGGTCTAGAGTTGACAAGAAATGTATCAGTCATGACATTCGGGTCCTCACGTGCTTCTTCTGCAGTAATCTGGAATGCACGACCCTTAGCTTTTGGCACCTCCTCGTTTTGAGCTGGAGTACTCTTCGGTTGTTGGACAGGGACTTGACTGCTCGCCGGTTGTTGAACAGAATCTTGACTTCCCGTCACTTGGCTAGTTAGAGTAGGGAAAAAACGCTTCTTGTGGCTAGTAATACCACATGCATAACAAGTCACATCCTTCCTTGGGCAAGCTGGCTTTATATGACCTGTTTCTCCACACCCATAACAAAAAATGGATTCCTTGTCTATTTTGCATTGACCCGGATGATTCCTTCCACAAACGCGACATGAAGGCGATTGAATAGAAAAAGATTGTGACCTATCGCGGCCACGAAAAGCACTCTGAGATTGT